GAAGCGGAGCGACTGCAAAGAACACAAATGATACAACGGGACACAAAGCTGCAAGAGGAAGGGAGAGGAACACTGCGGGACCACCACGGCTGGACAGGCCTTCGTAATGGAATTGGCAGGCGCGTCAGGCAATATACAATATCACAATATCAGCCAGTGAAAGATGTTAAACCACCAGTAAGTACTTCCTAAAGTCGTGCCCGTTAACGCGCCACGATTTTAGGAAACGTACGGGCCACTACAGGAGCGCCCAAATTCATCCAACTAGAACCGTTTCTTCTCTATTTTCTTCTGCGGCCGATAGCTTCGCCAAGTACTGGTGGTTTAAACTGCATGTTAAACTGCATATAACCAGCTGAAACGCAATGTCGCCACAGATGGGGAGAGGCGCATTTCGGAATGCGTAGCCACCACCCTCCCCTTCCCGGGAGCAGTAACAAGGAGGGATCCTCCTTTCAATAGAATACAGGTGACGAGATCCCGTGGTTGAACAGAACTGACTGAATGGCAATCCTCTCGGCTCATAATAACGAGATTGGGCGGAGGTTGGTGGAATGGGAGGGTAGCCTGCCTACATGAATAAGAGGTTCAACAATAGTTCATAGCAAAGAGAAGAGACCACTGGCTGGGAGACTTGAGTTCTCTAAGGAGTAGTGGACCGCTAAAATTAGCGCTAGGGAGCGCTAACACTCCGCGTGGTCGCAGCCGGCAGGGCCCGGCTGCCCTCTACGCGATCGGGCGCCCACGTGGGCTGATGGGGGTAGCTTGAGCCACGCGTCTTGCCCCACGTTCGCGGTGACGCTGACGTGGCAGCCCCGTTAGAAGTGGCATTGGCAGGGGAGCGTGGGAGTTCGTCGGCACAGATTTCGTGGCGGTTCTTACGTGCAGATGGCTTCAATGGGAGACAAGCAGCGAGGAGCCGGCGAGTGGATCTCACCCATTCGAGCAGCTCGTTGCCGTTTACATGTGATGGTAGATGCACTGCGCTCACAATTGGGAGCTCGATTTGAGGCTGATGGGGGGGCAGCTTCATCAAACCCGCCGTTTCGGGAAGTGATGAGGAACATGATGCAGATCATCTGGGAGTTGGAGGAGGATGGTCTCATGAATGGTCAACAGGAGGAGACTCTGAAGCGGTGTTGCTACGACATCTTCGAGGAGGGGCAAGATGTGTACGCAGCACTGGAGGAGGAGTGGTACTTGCACTTTGAGACGGAAGATGAAGATAATACTGACGCGAGCATCATCAGCTGTGACGAGATTGGGGAGAGCCAAGCTCGAGGTGATGACGTACTCGCTATTGACAAACACGCCAATGACAACAATAAATTTGTGCAGGTCCGTGGTACAAACATGGGGATCGTGAGCTTGGGCGCGCGCGACAATAATGACAACAACAACAACAACAACAACAACAACAACATCAGCAGCAACAACACCTACAGCAACCATGACGCAGAGATTGTGGACGCTGGCAACACCATGATTGTCGTGCATGACACTGGAACAAGTATGGAAATTGTGATTTGTGCACACAGGACTACAACAACAAAAACTACAACAACAGCAGCAACAAAAACGACATCAATAACACCAACAACGACGGTGTGGTAAGTATGGTGGGGGTTTCAGCTCTCTCCCCCTCCCCCTTCTCTCCCCCGGTGTCCTTTCTCCTTTGTGATCGTGTTGATGACCCAGGGGGAGGGCGACAGGGCTGTTTGAACGGCTCGTTCAGCATATTGGATGGGTGTGGGGGAGAGCTAGGGGTGGGATGGGTGCGCAAAGGGGTGGGATAGATATTGGATTGTCTTACCACATCTGATTAGTTGCCACATGGTAATAGGGCAGCTCTAGCCGCGGGCCAACACTGCATGAGTCATTAGGGCCTGCAAACGTGATGTCCGGTTTCTTGTCAGGTGKCGAGGACAGGAAGTGCCGAGGGAAGCGGCGCTATGGATTTCTTTGTGTGTGACTCGTTTGGGTTCCGCCACGTGGCCTTTAGGTTTTAGCTTTTAGTGAGGCCTGCTCAGATTGCCCCTTCTACTCATGGCGATGTATGGTTTTTGGGTTGTTGATGAGTATTTCTGGGTAGGGTATG